TGGATATAAACCATTTTTCCTGAAGGGGAAAAAAAAGATAGATAATATATATGCATGAACTGTCACAGATTAATACAAAATGGAATGTACAAAGACAACTCCCATAGGGATGAACTACTAAGGCTAAGTTGTATATAAGCTTTGTTTACTGATATTAACAATCTTCCAGATTTGATTGGTAACCAAACACTATCTATCCACTGACCATACTGCTATACCAGTACAGTCAGGTAGATGCAAAGTTACCTCCAAGAACTGAAAGCTACATCTGATTAAGGCTGGCTAATTGATCTTAAATTGAACATAAACTGATATATGAACTTGCAAGTATATGATCTAAGTAGAGAGCATCTTTCAATTATTTTTGTGTTAACAGCCACACACTGAATACCTGTTACTCATGGACAAATCTATGAATATATAGAATTGTACTAACCATCATCATGAAATTAATACTGATCCAGTAGCTTGTGGGAACATGGAAAACAGCATGAAACATTACAGTATAATGTCTGTCTCCTGCAGGAAAACATGTCCTACTAGTATTTCAATTAAAACAAACTGATGTGGAAACTTCATGAATGAGATATATTGACAAAAATGGCCTGGTTTAATTTTGGTGAGTAGCAAAATGGAAACATGTTCTTCTCAGTGTCTCAGTTGCCTTCAGCGGTGTCTCCCGAGTGTACCCAGTCATAGATGACAAGAGGAATGCTAACCAAGGAAAACAATATTCCCAGTGCCAAAAAGAGAGAAGCCTAGAACCAGAAATGGAAAGTATATCAGCTAATATAATTTTTTTTTATAAAGAAACTTCAAAAAATTGATAATGGGATACAAAACTACATAGAGCATCTCAGTGGAAAAGCAGAAAAATCCAGATAAGTGCTGGAGAATCAGGAATGTTATCAGTTAGTTATGATGATCTGCATCCCACTATGTGATTAAAATCATTGATGGCATTTCACTTTTTTATATAAGCTATTTTTGAATTAAAATAGCATTGGAAGACTGAACCACCTTATGCTTATCTAGGAGCAGGAAATCATACAATTAATATCATATAAAATGGAACCGGACTGCTAACTTTGCAATGTCTTGTTCCCCGTTTCCCACATATTGGAAGAGGTCTAAATGGAGGAGCCTATGCTATGCTGATTATTCCTACTCACCCCTGTGATTGTAATTAAGGCTACCAATCACAGAGGGAGCCTACATGTATAAATGGGTTCCTCTCTTCAGACTTCTCCCTCCTTAGTTTAGGGATGAAAAGAGGCTGAATTCAACAAGAATTGCAACTGGGTAATTGCAATGGATATGGGCTCACATAGTAATATGTGCTATGTTGACATGAAATATCTCTTGGGGGGATTGATCCCATGGATCACAAAACAGCTAAAAGGCTCTAACCTTCTCTCCAACCTTGCAAACAACAATGAAGTGTTTTCCCAAGGTTGCTCAGCCTGGTTTTGTTGAATCAGAATAGGGCCTTCATGACCAGGAGCATCTTCTGAGTACCTAGTTTGTCAGTAGTACAAACACTCCAATCCAAGAGAGCTTGGAAAAGTTATTTATTTTTTATTATAACTCCCCAAATCCCTTTTCATAATCTCTGTGTCTAACAGTATCTTGCAGGGAACAGATATCAACAAACATTTTTGTGAGCATGGATTTGTCCCATATCTACTGAGATGAATGAGGAAGCCAGATCATACCACAGTTCTACTTGTGTACTGAGACACACGTGTGGCTCTGTATAATAGTGAATTTTTTAAACTTTTTAAATATTTTGCAAAATGTACAGTTTTAGACAGTTTAGAGGATTATAAAAACTCTTGAAACTGCAAATCCCAATCAAAACACACCCTTTGAATCTATTTATGAGAGGTAACCAACACTTATCTCATTCCCATTGATTTAGTGGGTCACTCTAGGACTGACATTTCAATTTAAGCTTTAGTTCAGAAAACTTACCCAAATCCTCTGAATAAGTTTTGAGCCATCTTGGTGGGCGATTTTTAAATAGAGGGAAGATGGGAGAATAAAGATCAGCATGTTGGCAGAAGTTACTCCTGTGACAACCAAACACATGAATTTTGTTATATTTTGTTATAATAGACAAGACTGTAAGGACAAAAAAAAATCATACTGAAATATAATTAGAATACTGTACCTACAACTCCAAAAATATCCTTCATGGAAGGTATGAAAATAACTAACAGATTAATAATCATCAAAAGGATCAAAGTAACCACAATGTGACGGCATAAATTAAATTTGGTTTTTCTAGCAAGCTCAAAAATAGAAGAGCGCACCTGTAGGAAAAGAAGAAGACATCTGTCAGGCAAAATTTGCATGGGAAAACCATGCTGTTCAACAATTTCCTCCCCTCCCTCTGGTTCTGTGTAATTGAACTTAAGATTTTGCCTCGCTCCAAAACCATTCTGTAGGATATATGTGACCATGAGTGAAGAGGAAAGAGGGTGTGGGAGAACTGCGTGCATTTCCAGCAGATGCTATTTGTTGCAGCTGCAGGCTTTTTATGTAAACACTGTTTGTTCTAATGTCAAAATTAATTACTCTTTTGCCAGGCTTGAAAACTCCTCTTTTTAAAGCCTAGAAAATCAGACTTCTGGTGATGAATCAAGCAGAAAAGAGAAAGATGAAACGGTTTTCTGCACCAAAATATGTATTGTTTCTGCTTTCCCTTGCCTATCTGAGCCTATACTAAAGTGTGGGATGGTATACACCAGGGGTAGGCAACCTGTCCCCTTTAAGGGCCGAGGGACCTCAACTCCCAGAAACCTCAGCCATGTTGGCCAATAGTCCCATGTTGGCCAATAGCTCCTGGGATTTTGGGATCTGAAGTCCCTCGGCCCTTAAAGGGGACAGGTTGCCTATCCCTGATATACACTAAAGTTGGAATGGTTCAGGGATTCAGAGAAACTAAACCCTGCTTGTCTCCTTCATACCGCGATAACCCAACTTGACCTTTTGCATGATTCTCTTGGTAACCATAAATCCTGAACAGATCCAGGTGAGGTTTCTAGAATGCATCTTTCACAAAAGCTTCCTATGCTCCTTTTATTTCAGCCCTGACAAAACAGACAGCATGTTGCCCCTCTAGGTGCAAGGACAATATGACTTCACGACAGTGGAAAATTCTGCACAACCTTGAGGAGTTTATTTTTGTTGGGTATATCTGTCATACTGTTGGGTGAAGAAACAATGCAAGGCATGAGCAGGTGCAATGGAGAAATGTGAATAAGCTATATATTAGACAGTGTGCATGGACTGAAAAAGCTGAGCAATGAGGAGATTCTTAGAAATGCAGCTGCTCTGTAGGAATGGCAGACAGATTACTTTGAGGAGCAAAGAGATGCATAAAGAGCTAGCAGTCAGGACTCATGGGTTTAAAATATCAGGACTTTTTGATGATCAAGGATGATGCCTATCTGCCATCTTTTCAGAACTTCCCCTTTCTCTCTGAAATCCTAAGGAGCTTGTGCGTGTGGATATGTATGTATGTGGATGCTGCCCACTCCCACCTTCATCCCCCCCC